TCTGAAGAATTGAGGGTCTCCATATCAGTTCTGTGTAGCACAATTAAGCAGACTACTGCTCTACTGTGTAATTACCTTATCTGCTGTGTTCAGTTTTTGGTCACTCTGTCCTTTAAGCCACTTTGCAGGGCTGAATATTATCTAGTGATCACATATACATAGCACATCCATGGGGAATTAGTATGCTGTGCTGCAAAATGCTTCTGTATTCACTTACTGATGACCTTAGAGATACTCAAACACTGTTTGCAGTGTCATCAAGCTTACCGTTTTGCCTTTAGAGCCAAAGGAATGTAGCATACAAGGTCTAAGCATAAAGCCTTATGTGTAATTTGAAGAAGAAGAAACAAAATCAGGTGACCAATTTGGAAAATAGAAAGTAAAAAAGTCAATTGTTCATCCAGATGTTTTCACTTGTGACACTGGTTGCAGACAATATATAAATAAAAGTATCTCCTTATCTATTTTATAAAAATGTTGCATTGGCAGGAAAATTCATGCAGTATAGCAGAAAGAGCAGTACTAGTAATATCTCTGATTCCCACTCACAGTATAACTTAGACTAAGTTATTTTATGTCTCTGGGCCTTATTTTCTTTGTTTATAAAAATCAAAGGATTGGCCGCAATTGTTCCTTCCAGCTCAAGCATTACTGGAATCTGTGAAATACAGCCTTGTTCACTGCCCACTTATTATATTCCCTATTTTCTAATGATGAGGATGGTCTTACTCTCATAACACCTGTTACATATAGAGATCTGAAATTATATAAAAGGTATTAAATATCAGGTTCTTTTAGCCCACATTTCATTTTTGTAAAAGATGACTATAATTCTACCATCTATTTGTGCAAAAAGAAAGTGACTATAGAGACATAATGAAGTGGAAAGATGAGTAATTATCAAGTGAATTAAATCCATTTATACTTCTCTTTCCTTTCTTCAATGATAATTGCCTTAGCACTCTCATTCTACTTTGTCTATGCAGACTGGCTACAATGGCTGATATATCAGCAAGCTTTTCACCTTCTAGAATAACAGGAATACCTTTCTCTTGCATGTCATTTATTCCTCAGCTTCACCATACCACTTGAAACAGCACAAGCACAGAGCAATGGTTCTTGCAATGTGCTTCCCAGACAAGCAGCATCAGCATTACCAGAGAACTTAACAGAAATGTAAATATTGGAGTCCTACCCAGACCCACCAAATCAAAACCTTTGTGGGTATGGCCCAGTATACTGTATTTTAAGAAGACTTTCAAGTTATTCTGATGTATACTGAAGTTTCAGAACCTCTAGCATAGCATTTGGAATGCAGTTCTGCTTTCTACTATGTAAACTTAAATCAGTTACTTTAATCTTTTTCGGAATCCATTTCCTTATCTATAAACTGGATAGTTGTAGCAATGAAATAAGAATGGCCTATTGGCTCTCATGCCAAAATACATTCAAGTCACTCAACTTCTTTTCCTCCCTTGAGTCCTAGCCACCAACCTCTTTCACCTTGATATTAGCAGTGACCTCCCAACTGGTTGTCCTGCTTTTGCTCTAGATTCCAAATCATCTGTTATTCACCACAAAGCAACCAGAGTGATTTTTTAAAAGCATGAATCAAATTGAGTCACTCTTCTGTGTGAAATCCTCCAATGGATTCCTATTATACTCAGAATAAAACCCAAACTCTGTGCCTGGCTTACGAGGTATTGCATAGTCTGTCACCTTCCTCTGTTGCAGACCTTTTGCCCGCCTTGCTCACTATGATTTAGTTGCGCTGGCTTCCCCGCTGCATTTCAAACATGTCAAGTAGTTTTCTGCCTCAGGGCCTTTGTACTTCCTTATTCTCTGCCTGGAATGCACTTCCCTGTGAAAGGCTTGCTGGTATTCATCCTTCAGGTTCAGCTTAGAGGACAAATCTCAGACAGGTCTTTCCTGACTACCTTATCTTATGAAGTCTCTTCCTTACTCTCAGTTACTTTCTATCACATCAACCTAATTATTTTCTTCACAACTCTTGACACAACATAAAATGTTCTAGCTCATTTATTTGTTCAGTAGTATATTCTCTGTTATCTTCCAGTAAAATATCAAATTCTTCAGAGCAGGTATTTTGTCTTGCATCCTTAGTGCCTAACAGTGCCTGCCACATGGTAGGCAATGAAAAACTAAGGTATTAAAGTCACTCTGGAAAACTTCTACTTTTAGTAACAAAGATCCATAGCATTTTACCTCTGAAAACAGATCTATTTTTAGGAAGTTTTTCACACCAAAAAATGATTAAATGAACAGATTAAAACTGGACCACACTGGCCAAATATAAGTAATGGCAAAAATAAATTGGGAAGATGGGGAAGAGTAAAAATGTTCTATGTCTGAACTCGTTTCAGTTCCTCACACATAGTAAATACAAGTAGCACCTGTTAATCCAAAGACATGGCCACAGTGGGGACACAGTGACTGTGAGTGGGGGCTTCCATCATTTCAACACAGGGAGCAATGGAATCACGCCCAGCAGGTTCTTTGGAAGAAGATTAAGTGGTTTTAGTGCAAGAAGGAAAAAAATTGCCATTTTGTCAAGCCAGAATAGGAGTTAGCACACTCATGGTTGTTAAAGTGCAGAGTGGACGAATGAAATGCAACAACTTGGAACCAAAAAAAGAAAAAAAAGAAAAAGAAAAAAAAGAAGCAGGTTTCTAAGCTAAAACCCATTGTTTATAATCCCTGAGTGTAGCATGCCTTAATTCTGTAATAAATTGTCAACAAAGACAGAATGCTCATGGATAAATGACTCGGGCTACTTTCTCCCCTTTTGTGATCTACACAGTGATTTTAATTGTAATAATTCATTTGAACGAAAGATCTAGGTCACCGAATATTAAGAACATAGTAATGGGAAAACCCAGACCAAAAAAAATTAGAGGAAAAAAATATCAGCCAAGCACTTAGTATAATTAAGCTCTCCTGTGACAATGAAAAAATTAATTTCTATGTCATTGATATGCTAGTTGAGGAAAAAGAAAAGAATAAACACAGACGCCATAGCCAAGAGCTACAAGTGTCAACTAATTTGACAAGTTTCTAACTCCAAGGGTGATTGACAACTGAAGTAAAGCTGAGTTATCTTTAGAAAGCAGGCAAATTTCATCCTGCTCTCTTCCACATGCATGGCTGCGGATAACTCCACTTAAAAGGGAAACACTGCTAGAACCTGATTTTCATCTCTATGGCAGGATCCTTGAAAAAAACATTTTACTGCACAAGGCTGGGGGCCAGTGACCAAGTTGACTCTCTGAAACAATAACTCTGGACTACTCTATTTACCTCCAACCCATTAGAAAGCACTCTGCTGACCCCTGGTAACAGAAAATTTCATACCTTTTTTAACATACTGAAAGCAGGTATTTCACATAAAATTTTTAAATTGAAAATGATTTTATTCAATTAGCTAAGCAGCTCAAATTAACATTTAAGAAAAACCACCACTGAATCGAAACATCTACTCAACTAATAAAAAAGAGAAAACACTAGCCAATTCCCAGTATATTTTCAGGTTGTCCCCACCTGACATTTAAGAACTAATTATTACACTGGTGAGAAAAATGAACACTAAACAGTTAAAAATATACAGCAATTGCATCTCACTTTATATATCCGTAACCTTCAGTCTTATGTTTTTCCAATTGGTTAACTGTGGTATCTTTTGTTTTTCAACCAAATAAGATATCAACTACCACATTTAAGAAAAAGCAAAGATCAAATACCAAGTCTGTCATTTGGCATGAGTATAGTCAGTCCTTTATTATTCTTAAAGAAAAGATAAGCGATTAAAGATAAGTGCAGCTTTATTCAAACAACTGTTGCCCAGCTCATCATTGAAGTACTTTCTAGAACTTTCTGTGTTCTCCTCCCACATGAGCTGCATCAGAGATATGTGAATCCAAAGTGCTGAGGGTCATGTGGGGGAAGTCACTGAAGGCTGGCTGATATTGGACATCTCTGCCCAATTTCCAATCAACTTCTAAAACCTTGTAATCATTGAACAGAACTCTTTGGCCATATCTTAAAACCAAAATGCCATGGAAGAAGAATTGGTGAAATAAGTAGATTTTTGTGTTATCAGTTACTGCAAGAAATAAAAACATTTAAAGCTTTTGCTACAACTTGCCCCTTCAGAACTACTGTCATGATTTTAACATGCACTGTTGTTTATTTAAACCATTCTTGAATAAAGACCAATCTATAATATTTATTTTTCATACCAAGACAGATGGAATTCGGGCATGCTCCACTTTTGCAGAACACAATTTACTTTCAAAATGCCTATCCAATGAAGTCCTTTTCTGGATTTTGAATCAATACCCTAACAGGGTTTCCAAGATAGACTCCATAATGACCATGTGATAGAGGTTTTACGTTTATATTATGTTTGAATCAATGCTGAAGATTTGATTGGAATAGGAGCAGCTGCTCAAAAAAGTTTTTGGGGTGAGAGACATTTGTCACACTCCATTCTGATACGAACTAAATCTGGACAGTGAGCATTTTGAAATGTTTGTGGTGCCACATTAAATTGCTACCAGATAGGAGCAGTTACAAAAGATTAACACAAGCTCCAGATCAAATTCTAATGAAGAAAAGCATTGAGCTTTGAAAAAATTAAATCAGGAGTAGGAATAACAAAATGTTTCCTGTGTCAGGTTAACAGCTTGACGGGAAAAGGAAAAACAGGCTCCTTTGCAAGTGTGTTCACACTAATACTCATTCCCCAAACACATCAGCCTAATTTCTTCCTCTCTGCTCCATCAACATCCTTGCCCCCCACCCTCACTATCCACACCCAGAATCATCCAGGGAACGCCAATTATATAGCAAACCACACATTTCATACAGCCCTGTCTGCACAATCCCTCCCCCAAAGCCTAAATGAAAACCTTCCAGCTTATGATTCTAAAACGAAGAAGTTTTATAGTACTACAAACAATAAATTGGAATCACAATCTTACCATAAAAAGTCAACTGTCCTCTTGCTACATTTTTCCCTCTGGAATTTTCAGCCACACATTCATATAAACCAGCATCCTCCTGTTGAAAATTGGGGATTTCAAGAATTCCGTTTGACTTGTGTCTTCTGGCTTTCCTAGCTATTGGCTTTCCATCAGCTCTTTGCCAGATAATAGTTGGTACTGGACTGATAGCAAAAAAAAAAAAAAAAAAAAAAAAAAAAAGAGAGCGAATCAAATGAGAGAAAACTATCTTTTACTTGAACCTATGCTTCTAACAATACCTTCCTTCTTGGTTCTAAATATATAAGTTTACATGAGACAGTGTTCCCAAACTTCATTCATTCTTAAATTACTATTATGATTTTAACTATATCCATATTTCTAGTAGTATTATTTTCTTAGCGTTTTTCTTAAGATCAAATAACTTTTCTTAAATAAGGTAATCTACTTCCTATGCAAAATTATCACTGAATAAAAACAGGTTTATATGCTTGTTATATTTTTTCTAATACACAAGTTTTTTTTTTCTAAATCACAAATATTAAAATTAAAATATTTGTGCACATTTGTAGCAGGCTAAAGAGGGCTGCAAATTCTTTCACATTCCTCCCACTGCGTTGAGGTCTATGTCCCTTCCCCTGGAACCTGGTGGGTTCTTCAGATTATTTTGACTAATAAAATAAGGCAGCAGTGATATTGTATCAGTTTCCAAGCTCAAGTGTTAAGAAACTAGCATATTCTACTTTCTATTTCCTGGAACACCCTCTATGCAAGCCCTGAGCTGTCCTACAAGAGGTCTGAATGCCTTGATACTGCCCTGCAGGAGAGGACCCAAATCAGGCTTCCCAGTTGACCATCCCAGTGAGCCAAGCTTTCCAACATCCCCACCAAGACACCAGAAATGTGAGAGACTATCCTGTCCTCTCTAGACCAGCTCATCTGCCAGCTGAATACCACTAAGAGACCACACGTAATGCTACATAGAGTAAAAGAATCATCCAGCCAAACCCTGTCCAACTTCTTGACCCACAAATTGTGAGATATAATACAACACTGGCTGTTTGTTCCTTCTAAGTTGTTATTTAGCAATGGACAACAGAAATAATGTATTTTTATAAATCTTATGTACCCTACTTTGAGAAACATTCAAATAATGAACAAATGATAGTAGAAATAGTGAGCTCATAAAATTTGGGAGACACGATCTAATTGTTGACATAGAGGAAGAGTTTACCCCAGGTTCACTGTTTTTGACAACATAGTTATCCTTGTCCCCATTTTTATATGAAAAACCTTACCAACTTATAGCAGTCCATTTGGAGGGTGGTTTGGGGAAACTTTACTTAAAATAGAGAGATAAAGAAGCAATCTGTGGGGTCTTTATGTACCCTCAAAGCATCTATCATCCTATTGCCATAACTGTTAGAACACATCTTAAATTGCAAGAAGGGTATCATTGAGTCTGCAAATCAATGGTTTAGCAAGCTAACCACAGCTTTTAAGATTGTGGCTTCCTAGCAAGGGATAAAATTATTTACTTACTTATTTTTCACAAAAACACACACAGAAGTAATTAGACTAAAGGCTTGCTAATCTTCCCTGGGAAACCTGAGATGGTATTTAAAACATTAAAGCCATCAACTCTACTATACTTGTTTTAGAAGAATTTAAGTTCATTAGACAGACACTAACTCAAAATGCAGAAACGGTTCTATCAAAAGTACAAAATGGTTGTCTTTACATCTGATGAGACATACACTTAATTCAAGCTCTGAAAATAACTGTACTTAGATGTAGTCTTTCTGCTCTTAAGTAAGCAATGATGATGTGTTCTAGCAGCTGGATGTGTATACCCAAACACTTCTGTATGGACTGGAGGAGCCCAATTTGAAGCTTTTGTTTTTATTCTAGTGCCATTCAAACAGTGTGAATAGAGTTTAATTCACAGCCCCCTTTGAAATGCGAACAATGAAATGTTGCTCTTTCTCCACAGATTTTTCAAGGTATCACCTTGCAGAAATTGCCACATATATACCCATATATATGTCCACTTACCTGCTTTTACCTTTTCTTTGATTGATATATGTATACACACGTTACATAAATACTTAAAAATAAAACCACAACCATATTATACTGTTTGCAGTCTGATTTTACTCTCTTTTCAATAAATCATGGACACTTTCTATGTCTTACATATTGTTTTACGACTTGACTTTTAATGTCTGTACAGTGTTCAATCTGCAGCTATATTATAATTTATTTAATATGGTAAATTCTCAGGACATAAAAAATTACCATTGTATTCTACTACACCAAAATAAAGATACTAGTGTAGCTTATATTGCCATGATTTGAAAACACATGGAAACCAAAATAACCCTTCTATTACAACTGAATATAAAATGAAAAAAGAAACATCTTTCTATCATTGCTGTAAAACACAAAAATCATAAGAAAATAGGTTACATGCTAAAACAAGGATCAGGCAAGTGTGTTGCTGCCTTCGCCAATATTTGGGCGAAGAAAAAAGATAGGGAGTTAGTAATGGGTTAATGCATAGATGGGTTTGGGGGTAGAGATTGACTTGGATCATTAAAATCCACAGAAGATATAGAAGTTCTCACTTCAGATGATATTTTACATTGTTTATGCCAAAGCTTTTCTGTTGTTTACTGGAAAATAAAAATCCCAACTGATCTGCATTTTATTTTCCTTATGCCTACTGACAGATATTCTATGGAAAAGTTAACTGCTTCTCAAGTAGGATCTTTTAAGGATAATCCAGACTAAATAATAAAGTTGTAAATAATTTTCAGATGACTCTGTAAAATAGAGGCTCTCTCAGAGAATATCAGGTCTAACTCTAGCCAGAGCAGATGGAAATACAAAGTAGAGAAAAGAGACTAGCAATTTTAAAAGAAATTTTTAAAAAGTTTGATGCATCCTCCCTGTAAACTGGGGCCAGAATGAAGGTCCATATTTTTCCAAATAGTCAGCTTAACTGTACCTCCAATGAAGGCCATTGTTTTCCTGTCATTCTGGGTTAGACAGCATGTACATTACAGGTCATAACAGAATAAAATACTTTTTCAAAATTGCCCATTCTCCTCTCCTTTGTGAAGCTGTCAACTGTGGCAGCCTAAATCTCCTTGCACCATTACATATCCTCTCTGCATGGTGCGAGGGCAGAATCAAAAACGCATAAGCAGAATGACAAAAAGAAAGGCTGGACTTGCTTTTTCAGTCACCTCAGAAGCCATCACTGCTAACAGTACCAGGAAAATTCGATGCCTGCCCCAGCTGAAGGGAGGACGAGGAGGAAGAGAAACCAGAACTTACTTTCCTAAAGCAAAGCATTCCAGCTTCACCGTCGCTCCTTTTGCAGTCGGGACCGTTTCTGGGAACTGCACTTCTATTTTTGGTTCATATTCACCCATCACCCCTGTGAATAAACAAAGGAGCTAAGTCTTGGAGATTCTTTTAAAATGTGCATAAGTGTTTTTCTGGTAACGTAGGATGCTCCAATACATCATTATGTGCATAATGAATTCCCTCATTTAATGCAGGTCCTATCTCTAACAGCCATGAATTGTGGCTTTTCTCCCAGTTACTGCTAGAGAAAAATTTGTATCATAGCACCACACCATCTGCCTAGGATTAAATTCTCCATGCGTGCAACTTCACTTCTCAAAAACACTTTTTTAAGAAGGTAATCAAGGAAAAAAAGAGAGAGAGAGAGGAGGGTAAAATACTAATCACAAGGAAAATCAAATAAATTATCTTTTTGGAAACATACTGGAAAAAAATGTAAAATATTTAAAAGTACTTTTAAAAATACTTGCATGCTTTATTATGTCTATATAAGAAATTTTTCTGAGCAATCATTCTGTGGCCACACTTTTTACTTTTACTTCCATGGCCGATCTGAACTAGTCATAAATGAGTGTATGTAAGGTGACATCAAAAGCCTATATTTTTATTATATTTTGAACCAATGAAAAACAGAATAATAGGAAGCAACTTACAGAAAACAACTTTTAAGTTATACCTACCTTGCCAATAGCATACTTATCCTGAGGGTCATATTCTCCCACTTTGCCACATGCTGAAAAATGACTGTACAATTCTGGCCAAGGTAACATAGCCTACCAAACTAAGGCCATACTTTATAACTAAATAGTTATCAATATGTTCTTGATCCTATCTACCACCACTCCAATTGTTTTAATATGTTCATTCCCATCCAATTTCTGGCCATTTTTTATGATCTCTGACTTAACTGTGCCAATATGAAGTTTGGAATTATCTAGCTTACTCCAAAATGATAGAACTCTCCATTTCGTCTCTCCTTTAGGCTTCCCATAGTCAGAGGGAAAAGACTGAAGGATTCAGAAGAAAAGGCTGAAAACAAGGAATGGGTGGGGACAGGTGCAACAAGGAGAAATGATTTTACTCATTTTGCAGAGGTGACCCTCTTCATCTGCCGTTTCAGAGTCTGAGAAGCATCAAGGGGGTCTCAGAAAAAAAAAAAATCAACCCTATGTGTCAAATGACTTATAGTCTAGCTGGGTTTGTTAAAAGGTGTGTGGTCAAAAGTGTAAACTTGAACATAGTTTTCTTGTTGTTGTTGTTATTGTTTTTTCTTTTCTAGGATGACAGGGAGTATTGGATTTGGAAAGGACCTTTGAGATTATTTAATTTATTAATCTTGGCATACATGCATGCAAACTCTTCTAAACAGAGGATCTACTCCTAGAAACCTATTCTTGAAGTGACGCTTATCCCTCAAAATGTTAAAATCACAGTTCTAATCTATCTCTTCCTTTTACAAGTAAGGCTATAATCTCAAAGGGGTTAAATAGTTTGTCTTTATTCCCACAACAAACTAGTTAGTGTTCAAGGCTGAAACTCAGGCCCTGACAACTCCTCTTCTTAATCATTTGCTATGGCCTCTCAGCACTGCGATGAATAACAGTAGTTATTGAATACAAAACTAGATTAAAATACACTAAATCCAAGTGTGACATGTTCACATACAAAATCATTCCTCTTTTGTTGGCTAATCTCTGCTCTCCAAGTTCTTTTGCATCTGAGTGTGGGTTTGCCTTCCTCTGAGCTTTTGCACAGAGCTGGTAAATACGCGCTGCATACTAACAACGGCATTCACACGCAGCTGCTGACCTGCTAACAAACAGCCCCTGCAGTTGAATCAGCATCCCATAAATATCAGTAGTATGACTCTGAGCACAGTGAGCAAGTTAACACCTTTTAGTGCTGTGTATGTGACTGTATACTCTGAAAGCAGTGTTAATTAAAAACAAGAATTGCCTTGAGAGAAAGAGGTCTTTTGTCCTCCCAGGAAATCAAGACAGTCTGCATTGCAGAGTATCATGTGTTGGAGGGAGACAACAAGGTTAAAATACAAGGGGAAAGGACGTCTTAGAAGTGATCTGATTTTTCCCCAGCCTCCATCTTTCTATAAACATCTCATAAATATTGTGTTTCTTTAATCAAGCTATGAAAATTATAACAAGAAGCAAATATAACTCATACAACCTTGCTCTGAGGAACTATCACTGGCAATGCAGAAACTCAATGTCCCTGATCCCTCAATTGTTATCTCCTCATCCTAAAATCCTACCTATTTAGGCCCAGACTGAAAGGCTGCTTTCCCAGGATCCTTCACCTGCTTACTGCCTTCCCCTCTCTGCAAACCCTACTCTCTATCCCACGGTGGTCTTTAAATGAACAGAAAATACCAAAACTTCTTTTGCCTCAATTCTCACCATTTCCCAAGACAGTTTTTTTGAACAAGTTTTTTGAGGTATAATTTACATAGAAAATAATTCACCAATTTTTAAGTGTACAATCCAATGGTTTTTAGCAAACTTGTCGAGTTGTGAAGCCATCACCATAATCCAGTTTTAGAACATTTCCATCACTCAAATTAGAACACTCATGCCCATTTTCAATTAATCCCAAATCCCAGTCCCAGCCCCACGCAACCTCTAATCTGCTTTCTGTCTGTATACTTTTGCCTTTTCTTGACATTTCACATAAATGTAATCATACAGTATGTGGTCTTATATGTCTGGCTTCTTTCACTTGGCATATTTTCGAGACTCATCCATGTTGTAGCATGTACCAGTAATTTCTTCCTTTTTACTGAGGAACAGTATTACACTGTATGGATATACCACTCCAACTTTTATTTATCTATTCATTGGCTATAATAGTTTGCTAGAGATACCATAATAAAGTACCACAAACTTAAAGCAAAAGAAACTTATTCCCTCACAGTTCTAGAGGCTAGAGTCATAAATGAAGGTGTTGACATGGCTTTGTTCCCTCTGAGACTCCAGGCAGAATTCTTCCTGGCCTCTTCCTAGTTTCTAGTGGTAGCTGTCAATCTTTGGTGTTCCTTGGCTTGTAGACATGTCCCTCCAATCTCTGCCTCTGTTGTCACATGATATTCTCTCTATGTGATTTCCTATTGTCTTCTTTGGAGGATATCTGTTGTCACATGATATCTCTCTGTGTGTTTTCCCATTTTCTTCTTTGGAGGATACCAGTCATATTGGATTAAGTATCCATCTTACTCTAGTATGACTTCATCTTAACTAATTACATCTATAATAGTCCTACTTCCACGTAAGGTCACATTCTGAGGTACTGGGGGTTAGGACTTTCAACATATCTTTTTGGGGGACACAGTTCAATCCATAATAATAGTTGATGGGCATTTGGGCTAATTTTACTTTTAGGTATTACCAGCGATGCTTCTGTGCACATTTACATGCTAGTCTTTGTGTGGATATTGTTTCATTTATCTTGTGTGTCCCATGACTTTTACATGGATGACTCTCTTGCTTCATGTCTCGGCTTAAATGATGACACCTCAGAATAGTATCTTGTGATCACTCTATCTAAAATAGATCCCTACTATTACTCTCTATTAACACCTGTTTCTTCATGTTACTTATCACTATTTATAATTCTCTTGTTTGCTCATGTGTTTTACCTACATGATAAAACATGTAATATCAAGTAATGTGGGTGTTACTTGTATTGGTAGTTTCTATCACAGTGTCTTCACTTTAATAGATGTTCAGTAAGTAACTAACAACATGACACATTTCACATATAAACTTTGGGACACCTCTTGAATAGCTTTACTCCTTTTTATCATCTTTATAGCTATTTTTTTTTTCCTTTTTGTCTTTTTTCGTGACCGGCAATGGATCGCAACCCTCAGTGTCGCGCCTGTACTGGACCGGGACCGGCAACGGGATTGCAACCCTCGGTGTTGCGCCCGCACCTCACTCAGCCAGTGAGCGGCCGGTCTGTATGTCCCACACCTCGCTCAGCCAGTGAGCGGCCGGTCTGTATGTGGGATCCAAACCCTCGGTGGGAGCGCCGCCGCACTCCCAAGCGGCGCACTGTAGCAGTGCGCCACCGGGCCGGCCCTTTATAGCTATTTATATACATGGCTTCTCTCCTGATATATTTCTTGCTTCCTTGAAGAATCAAAATCCTTCTGATTTTTTTATGTATCCCTTACAAATCTTAGTTCAATGCCAGCAATATGAAAAAAAAATAGTGATGAGCAGGGATTTGAGGAAGGGAGGAGAAGATGTAGGAATATAGGACTTTATATTGCGACACATAATAACCATTAAGTCACACACGTACTTCTTTCCAGGCATGAAAGTCATTTATTAAGCATCATTGTGGATTATAGTACAAGTTCACTCACTTAAGATAATCATTTACCAAAATGAACTGTATAGGTTTTTTTACCTGGTCACATGGAGTGATTCCTGGGTTGATACACAGTGACCCATGTTTATGGCTATAGAAACACAAGTAACAGTCATCAGTGATAATACAGATTCATCTGTATATATGGCAGTAGTTACACTAGATAAAGATAGGAATCAGATATGGAATTGCATGGTTTTCACCGCTATTTAAAGAGTTCTCATTCTACATAAAGATTGTCCTAATATTAAAGTCATAAAAGTGAGAAAAGCAATTTTCTTCAGCTGTATTATGAACTTTTTTGGAACACCTGTGAACTATTCCATTTAATTTGGTTACATCTGGCACAGGCTATATTTTTATTTCACTATTTCTTTCATTTTAACTACTTTGGCATTAACTTTCTGCCTTAAATTTAAAAGCTGTTGCCTTTTTTGTTTTTTAAGAAATAAAAGGCCCCTTAAAACAGGAGTACATTTTTAAAGTCATTCCTCTGACCACCTGTACAATTTTGAACTTAATTGTTCTACAGCTGCTCTGGTGATTTACAGAATGATTAGGCTAAAAGAGTGAGGCCATTGGCAGAATTGCTCCAGAACCCTTTTTCTATCTTAAACTATTTAAAAGGGTGGGAAGCTGTGAAGGCCTAGCCATGCCTTCACAACCAAAGTAAAGTAGAAG